ATGTCAGTGGCGCTTGGCTCGAATTGACGGGCCAGCCGGTAACTATTACTCCGACTCTGCGGCAAAACGTTCCCGAGCCGGAACTGTTGGCTTAGCGATTCCCCACCACTTGAAGTTCTTCGCCAGATAATGGCGGCGAAGCAGTCGTCGCTTCTATCATTGAGGCTTAGCTTTCTGCGGTTACCGAAATTTTTGGGGGTTCTATAGTACTTGTAAGTGGCTCTAGTGGTGAAGGGGCCTAACACCCTCTTTTAGTGGGCGTCAGTTGACCCACAGAATTGAGGAGTCTAACCCGGCCCTCGGTCATTGCTTGCTTATAGGCGAACACTCTCCAAAATCTAGTATCCACCTCACCTTTATTGTACTTATAGCATGGTCCTTCAGATAGCCAATTATCCAGACGATAAATATACCCCTCACTAGGGGTTCGAGTTTCAGTATACGTTTCTTAGGGGCCGGTATGCAGAACGATATCGCCCATGATACCGCAAGGACAGGAATTCGGCCCGAAAATCGTTGTCAAGGGCAGCTGTTCACGGAAGGGGAGCCAGAAAAGAAGGGACATGTCTGCACCAGAGATTTAGCTCACCAGCTTGAGCTTGAAAGCTTTCCCGTACAGCCTTTCCAGTCCTTGACGGAAATTGTTGACTCTAGCAAAATTATAAGTGAGCTTCCCCCTTCAGTAATATAACCAGAGAGGAGGATTTCCGGAATGCTGTAGATAGGACGTTAAAGAACTAACGTCAGCCCAGTGCAAGCACCCATGGACCACCAGAACTATGGGAGTGAAAAATGCGTTCGGAATCTAGAAGCCTACAAAAGGGACTCGGAAGCATCCCTTAACGTCGCGAAAGTGCAACGTATATATGGAATTAGTTCTCTACAAGTGATAGAAATCCACAAAAGAAAATAAGTACACTGACCAGCTTATGTATATAGAGAGCCCCTCTATCAATTATGGCTATTCGCGTATACGTGGCTACTATCAGGAGGCTACTACCTAAAATTTAAGCGGCTTTTAGACCCTCCGCACTCCGTGGGCTTTTACCCTGAAATGAATACTCGTATAAATACCACTAGGATCGCGGTGTACGGAGTGTCATGACCCTCTTTGATCTAGACCCGCAATGGAGGATACGCCGCTCTTAAGAGTGGATTGTCTCGTGACCGGCTTTCTAAACTCACTACCATTTTTCCTCTCTCGGCATGAAGAACTCCTCCATCTATCAACCCCTATCAATGATTGCAGGGATCTTCGACTCCAGGATTTCTCCTTGAGATTCGGTCTAAGGTTTCTCTGCTTCAACCAGACAGTCCGTGTCATCCTGGCCGCTCGACATGCAGCATACCATTTTGAGAACTGGATCGAACGAAAGCAGGGCGCAAACATTGTTCAATTTGCAATCCATTCATTTGGAGTCGGTGCCAATCTCTCAGAGGTGGGAGAAATGGTCCGTAACGGGCAAAAACTCACCGAGATTGAGCATCAATGCCAGAATATCTACATACAATTTTGGATCGCCCAGGACTGGGATCGGTTCCAAGCTACTCCTACTTCGGACCTCCTCCGGATTTCCAATGACTTCCTGAAGCTAGGGCTGGTCAAAAATATTCTTCGCATACTGCCGCAACGATTCCCAGTGACTTCTCACTTTGACTACCACGGTACGATCGCCTTTACTAAGCAATGCTAGCTAACAGTCAGATTAGCAGAGGTAGTCCACGTCCATCAGCTAGTTCAAGCTGACCGCCTAACGTATATGTACGGGGCAATCCGCCAATGCCGAGACTGCTACTTCGAGCATAAGGCATATCGTCTTAATCCTGAGGCATGTAACGCCTGTTACCGCGGGGAGACCCTCTGTAAAGGCTATAGTGGCTGCGAGGAACCGTCTCTAGCTGGATCACTGATACAACTTAAGATTATCGACTCTAAATTCGACGATCTTGCTCGGAACTGCGGATTTTATGATGAGGTTAACTACGCCAACTATCAAATCTCTCAGTCGATAAGTCTGGCAGAGCAAGGTTCTAGGGCGCCTAGTCTCGAATGTAGTATATTCAGCCTCATCATAAACCTTGACGACAAATTGAATACACTCTGCTACCCCTGCAATCAGCAACGGCCTTGTATCTGCTGTTTGCATAGGGGGAGTCTATGCCTAGATGGCATTCCATGTAGAGCCTGCAGGCTACGGAATTGTCGCTGTCGGAGAGAACTATCCTGCGGGAAGAAATAAAGAGACGGCCGTCAATGGTAAATGGAAGATCTAGGCGGTGTAAGACCGGAAGCGATAGATTTTGCGAATCGCGATACGGTGTTAACACCGACCCATTTACCTCCAGTGTCTACGGGTTAGGACTAATTTTGAATTAGAGCGACCTAAACTAGAAATCAATTGAAGAGCCGAGGTTTATCTTAGCACCTATGAAGCGTGGAAACTTTGGTTCCACGTATGTATATAGGATGAAATAGAAGTTATGCGGCTTACTCTACACCGTAGTGTGAGGTGAGAACTCTCTTTACGCCGCCATATAAGAAGAATTATTAGTCACCTTGAGTCATTTATAGAGATTGAAGCGTATAAGTTACCGCCTTAGAAAATCATTATGCCACCGTTCCACCACTTTTATATATTAATACTAGCCGTCTGGTGGCTTAGGGCCCCATGGTGCGTCTCATCACGCCGCCATGACCCAGTAATACATCGACACGATTATGCCCTTAAATGGGGGCAACAAGGACCATATTACCTAAATCACAGTGCTGCCACCAAGTTGATATCCGAATCCATGTCTGGAAAACTCCAGCCTAGAGCTCAGACAGCCTCCAGCATTGTAGTCATCAACAATTTGCCGAATGGTAGTAATGTCAATATGTACGTCAGCGGGAATGACCCAGAAGGCCACCTTGTCTTCTTGGGACCTGATCGTGAATGGTATTATCCCTCAGTAAATAACTCGCTGTCCGTTCCTACCGAAATACCGGCAAGCGCTATCACCATCTCTATTCAAGGTACTGGCCAAGCAGTGGACGTCGTACTCCCTACAGACATTTCAGCCGGAAGGATTTGGCTCGCTGACGGAGTTTTGGAGTTCTCGGTGGTTTCGACCGCTTCTAGTAACGCCTCACTAGTCCAACCGTCGATACCCATCGAATCGGTGCCAACTGGGGTAGATGTCTCCTGGGGATTCGTGGAATTTACCTACGCTCAAGGAAAGGGTCTCTGGGTAAATCTCAGCTACGTTGACTTCGTTGGCTTGGCATTGGGCATGATCCTCACGAGTTCCAGCCCAGAAACGAGTTCGGTGGCTTCTCAATGGGCATTAGGTTTACAGTCTAATGCCACAAGCACTATCTGTCGAGAATTGGCCAACCAGAGCATGCTCGATGGTTATCCTTGGGGGGCTCTGTGCATAGAGGACTCGTACAGTCGACCTTTCCGAATCCTATCACCCAATATGTATGTCCAGATGCATGCAGAAGCTTTTGCCGACTACTGGACTTCCTACATTGACCAGGTGTGGACAAAATACACCACTCAAGGGCTGACTATCAATACTCAGTCCGTAGACTTTGGAAATGTTTCTTGCAGCGTCCAAAGTGACAACCTAATATGTACGAGCGCTAGCGCCAGCGGCGGTGGCAACGCAATATATACGAAACCGTCGGCGAAAGATATCTTCAGCTGTAACAGCGGTCCTTTTGCTGCACCCAGCGACTTATATCAGGCCGTCACGCCGCGGCTCTGCTCCGCAATAAATCGCTCCACACTTCTATTGACTGGAGGCAATGTTCAACCCGACGGTGTCGCTTCGAGCCTATATTATGACGGTGAAGTGACAAATTGGTATAGTAAGCTAGTGCACCAGTGGGAGATCGAGGGGAAAGGCTATGCGTTTCCTTATGATGACATATCACCGAGTATGGAACACCAGAGCCAAGCAGGAGAATTGACGTCTTACGAGCCATGGGTCCTGACGCTACTTGTTGGCGGCGCACTTGAAT